TTCATTATTTTCTTTCAGTTTATGTGACCTTAAAGCCGTATTTGAATTTGCTTCAGTAGTCTGCTGAAAATGCCTTGAACAATCCTTGCCTCCTAGACTTTCCCAAGCTTCTCAACATTCATTTCTTCTAATTCCAATTTTCCCAGAGTAAAAACGAAGTCAGCTAGAAATCTCACACACAGCTGTGAAAGTGAACAGCAATTCAGTGTCACTGCCCTCACAAGTATTGAAGACTCATTGTGGAGGAGAAACAAAACTGAAAATTAAGTATAAATACATTTAAGTAATTTTAAGCAGAAAATCTGAAGAGGCTTCAGTTCATAAGCATCATTTCAGACTAGTCATCATGAGGAAAAACCATAAATTCCAAGATTTTGCATAATAAGTGGTATCAAACAATCTGAAAATCTTACTGCTGTCACCATACAGGTTTATTGTGACATGGTGTTCTGAAATGGAACCACATGTTGTTGTCATTTTTTGTTTTTGTATATTTATACTACAAAAAGAAAAAAAGAAATAATAAGATAGTTGCAATCAGATCAATACAAGACCTTACTGAATGCCTAAAACTTACAAGGAAAGTTACTTTTATTATTAAACAGAAACTTGAATTGTTCATTCTAATGATGAAACCATAAGGAGTGCCTTTTTTCAGGAGAACACCACAATGACAAACACTTCAGTATTTTTTATTAAAAACTATAGGGCTTAATATTCTCTAGAATAATCATTTGAGAGACTGGCATTACCAAACTATGCTTTGGTTTCCAAAATAAAAGCCTTATCCTAATGTCATATAAATTAGGTCTCCTAGGAACTACAGCAAACACCATCAAGTTTTTGAGCATCAGATACATAACAGCAGAGCATCTATCTCATATTCCCTTACCCACAATTGTGGTAGTTCATTATAATACTTACAGAAGATTGAAGAGTGATAAATTATCGCATTTCCAAGGAAGGTTTGGAGAAGGTAGCACTCCAGCAGGACTTCTTGCTTGGTTATAAACCTAGTGTTGAAATTAAACTTCTCCCTTTTGTGCATATCAAAAAAATCATTCCCACTTTGAATACTGAAGTCTCATTCCACAACTTTGAATTCCAGCAGTCCTGTTCAATTAATCAACACCCAGCTATCTTCCTGGAATTCAGGTGAGTTTACATCACACTTTAGTTGGATCAGAATCTAGCCTCACATCTAATGCTACATTGTGTACTTTTAGTAATTACTCTGCTCACATGGCAGAAGACAAACGTCTCTACTTCCAGTGTAAATTTATTCCACACTCAAATGTATTAAAGGTAAAGCAGTGTCAGGTTCTTGGAAAAAGACCAGAGTTTTTAATGTTTTAACATTTCAATTTATGCTCTTCAGAAAGATATATCATGTAAAATAGTAAGAAAAATATTTACAATTTTTGACCTGCCATTTATACCAGTATAAGTATCCCAATTGAGATGTGGCTGTTCCTCAGATAACTCCTTCCTCATATAGAAGAGATGGAGTTAACTGCACTTCTCTATTTGCTGGGAGAGTGAAAGCTATAATACATTCCGATCAAAAGTAACAAGAAAAATGAGAACACTGCTTATAATCTCATGAGGTACACACATCACGCCACTATGCCCGCAAGTAAGGGCAGGAGCGTGCATCTATGAGAGAGCAAAGAACCTGACCCTCGAGTTCCTTTATTAAATGCTATTTGGCCAACGTAAGATGACGTTTATAACATTTAGCTGCCTTCAGAAAACAGGAAGTTTGGGAATTACAATCTCCTTGAAATCAACTCTGAAGAAATTACTCCATTCAAAAAGTTTGCTCAAGACTGACCTGCTTTTTTCAAGTTTCACACTCTTGAAACAAACAGCTGAGTTTGAAGCTCGTGCTAACAGTGTTTAGAAGCCTATTTTTGAAGAATATTTTTCAGTAACATTTTTCATCTCCAAAATTGGGTAGATCTTTAAAAATAAACTTCATAGGAATACAGGGAAAAGGAAACAGCGCAGAAGCATAAAAATAGACTCAGGAGTCCAATAACAAACTATAAATCATTCATTTCCATCACATGCTGACTTGCAACATCATTTCTGCTTTTAGTAAAGAAAGGAGTTCAGAATGCTTTGGGACAGGTTAGTTCCTTCCAACCTAAAAGCAATTAAGCTTGGTCCCAAGACAATGAAATCCCAGGAGACAATGGTGTAAATCATTATTTCCTTGATCTCTAGTGATTGTGCTTACAACAGAATTTCTAGCATAGTAGTGGCAATATAGTACAGGCTCTTTAAAAAACAAAACAAAAAAAACATCAGCTGGCTTAAGAAATCAAATTCTATAATATTGCTATGGAGAAAAAACATCTAGCATTTACCTTTAGAAATAATGCTTAGAGATGATATACTATAGGCTACCACTCTGCATTCTTTGTGTACCACAAATTTGCAGTGAAGCAGGGATTTTAACCTCTGGAAATCCAGCACTGGTTAGACATTATACATGGAGAAAAATTAGATTCATAAGACATAAGATTCAAGACTATCCTTTTAGACCTAGAATTAAAATATTAAGGAGAAAGACTGTATCACACATCAGGTTGGAAAGCAATGTACCAGTCACATTAACTTCTAAAGACTGTTCTGTGAAGCAGAATACATGGACAGAAATCATCACCTAGTCAATGAAGGCACTGACTGATAGTTAAGTCTAACATATCTATGGGCTCATTCCCTACACCTCCCACAGAAAAGCAAAGACAAGTTTTAGCATGGGCATGACTAGAGAAAACACAATAACAGTGCAAATAGTATTATTGTCACTGTTATACAAACTAATGGTGTTCATACATAAAACTTCTAAATGGTAGAATGTTCCCTTGAGTGCTTTCAAGATCCCCAAACGTGTCAGCCGATCACCAAATCTACCTCAGATATATTAATTTTGCAGTGGAATGGAACTGTTATACCTCAAGCTGCCTAGCTTTAAAGTTGGATGAATCTGTGTGGACTGTTGTTGCTGCTGATGGGTTTTGTTTGTTTTAAAATAGCTTAACCATTTACACAAATGTTCTGGGTAAGTACAAGACCAATACACAGAAATTCTGACCATGAATCACAAGTAGTATTTTAAACCTCTGCTATTACTACCTGAGAAGACCACTATCTTTTTCCTTTGGATTTAATTAGATTTTATAAATAACTGTATCATCTGTTACAGTGCAATCTATTTTTCTACAGACTCGAGTAAAACCTGACCATCTCCTAAACAAATATTTATTAACACTTCTCAGAGTGCCTGAGATACTATACTAAACAGTATGCTGTACAGTCAAGATTAGCCAGATAAACAAACGACACTAATACCTCTATGCACAAGAAGAACCACACGCTGCTATAAGCATAGTTTTTCTTATTCCTGTCTCTTGCTAGCAGCAGAGTGGCATGCAATAAACTCTTCAGGAACACATCTCTCTTTTTTAAGTTGAACTGGGAGCTAGCAGAACAACATAGCCAGAAGATTGAAAACTCTAATGATTTATGAGAGGAGAGCAAAGAAGAAAAATGGAAGTGGGTGGACAGCAACTGAGGCATGATATCAAATGGATTGAGGGGGAAAGCAAAAAGAGCAAATGAATAAGGAAAGAAACAAATGAGATCTGGAAAGACACAGAAGACAAAATTGCCAAGAGTTCATCTAAAACAGTAGTTCTTAAATCATGGCTCAGTAAAAGGAAATTACAAAACCAGTCTGACAGGAAGCGTGAATTATGATGCTGCTGTCAGTGTCGTACATCTTGAGTGATGTTGTCAGAAGAGCCAGTCATAACTGAGAGTTACTGGCCTACCATATGGCGAGTGCAAGTGTGGAATGACTTTGTTAGCTATGTGTCTGATGAATAGGAGAAGGAATGCAGCAGCTAGCAAGGAAAGGGGAACCAAAAAAGGGAGGGAAGGAAAATCATTGGTGAGCTCAACTGGAAGCAAGATCATACCCTTGTTAACTGGTCCACACACTGAGGTAACTACCACATAAGTCTCACAACCTCAAGCATTATGAAAGCTGAAAAGCATTCTGTTAAGAGTCCCAAAATCTTTTCAGGAACTGAGGTGAGTTCCTGTCAGATATATAGGTAACATAAAAATGACATCTATGGTGCACACAAATGTTTTATCCAGTGTTCTTTAAAAACTTCCTGAAATTATATCCGATTAAGAAAGAAAATTCTACACAGGCAACACGTGCAATGAAAGGAGAACAGTGATGGTTGGGGAAATTCTCTGAGGTATAATTGCAATGCTTTAGCATATTTTAATTCATTTAAAAAAAAAAAAATCATAGAAGATAACATGTTCTCTATATAAACTGTAATACCTTGTCTGTACTATCAGTCCAAGCAGAATCAATACATAAAGGAAAAGAAAGTTTCCTAAAGATATCCATTCTAACTGACCCTCACTAAAACACAACAAAATACGGAAGAGATGGCAGATATGGACAGACATAACCTCCTCCTCCAATCTCTAATACTGCAGGTAAAAATCAAATAAAGTTTTATAGGATTTCTTCATTGAATATGGCATAGCATTAGTCTTGCATAATACTGATTCATACTCCATGCAGGAGAAGAAACTTGTCTGCCAGACACTTATAACAACTCTGGATCCATATTCTGAAGAATGAGCTGAACGCTTTTTTCTGATTGCCCTGTAGAGGGAACTGCATGCCTCCAGAGTAGCTGTCCCCAAGGGAATGCAAAACAGACTCTTCTGTTTCACAGTTCTGAGCAGGAGATACAAGTCTGGTGGGTTGGGCCAGGATGCAGAAGACCAGCTGAGACTAATGGCAAGAACTTTATTCACTGTCTCCTCTACAAGGGATGGGAAGATGCTGGAATGGCAGGGGAAGATTTTGGGGCTCAGAGGAAAAAAGTTAAAGGCCCGTTTCTGTTGAGAAAGGCTACAAAAAGAAAAATGGAAAATATTTGTGTAAACTGAAAACGTACCGTGTGTGTCTCTTCTGTACATTTTTCTCTTTGTATTGGAGCAACTGGAAATTCAAGGAGGGATTTTACCGTCTTCCTTTTGGCTCTTTCCATTTGAATATTAGTAAAATAGTTGACAGCAGCAAACTCGATAAGAGCAGAAAACACAAAGGCAAAGCAGACCGCAATGAACCAGTCCATGGCAGTAGCATATGATACTTTTGGCAGTGAGTGTCTTGCACTGATGCTCAGTGTCGTCATTGTCAACACTGTGGTTATTCCTTCAAAGAAACAAAACAAAAGCACTGCTGAATGCAAGTAAATCAGACAGAGAATATGAAAGTAGACAAACAGCTTCAAACAAAGAGTTCCATATCACCTAGGAGTGATTTAAATCCCTTTGAATCTCTGATTGTAAAGCCAATTATTATGAATGAAAGAGCAGTTATACTGAAAAATGTTATAACAAAAGTTACTCCAGTGAATGAGACACTCAGTCTTGACACCAAATGGAAGAAAATAAATCTCCTATTCAGTTAAATATATATATATACACATATATATAATCACAAATTAAAGTAATAATACTAGAGATTTTCACATTTAAAATCAACACAGGAAATACAGTATAACATATCAACATTTTTCCCAGCTCTGCAAAATTATGCACTGTGTAATACTACTGCCACAAGAGCAAGATTCAGATGTTGCCATCAGACAGCTCACCCTGTGTTTGCTTGATAAGACAATCTTAAGAACTTCTGAGATCCTACACTCAGCAATCCACTCTTCATAAAAATGAACACAGGAAAGAAATAACTGTTGGAGTAAAGACAACTCATCGTTCTGTTAGATTAAGAAAATGGAGGAAAGCCTTTCTATGCATCTTATGAATACTGCATTAGATTTAAGTCCTGGTAATCACCATGTACTAAAAAGCAGTAGTTGTACACACACACAACAGGTAACCAGTTTTTAAAAGAGCCATGCCTTCATTAGATCATCTACAGTTCACGTGCAGAAAAAGTGAAAGCCTTCAATACATATTTTTTTATGTCAAATTTTGTAGAATTTCTTACAACAAATAATTTTCTAAATGTTTGAATGTAATTAAGTTGTTTAACAGGGGTATATTTTGCTCTTTGGACTGCAAGAAAAGCATGATTTTTCCTTTAATGGTTTTGGAAAGCTACCTATTACTCTGATCATGCTCATAAACCAGATGCCACTAAAACATGGCAAATTTTTTTGGTGCTAAGGAAAACTCAAATATTATGTTACCAACTCTGTTAATTAGTAAGTCATAACCTTATCTTTTAAATCCTTCTGCTACTAGTCAACCGATTAGATTTAATTAGGATTTCATCTTCTGAGAGAACAACTTCAATTAAAGTATACATGCATGAACACTGAGCTCACAATATGACCACTTCATGGTGACACTTCAAGTGCAAACACTAGCTATAGAAAAACAAAGTATGATTTTTTTTCCTCTCATCCAAACTATTCCAAGGCTAGTTAAAACATCAAGTATCCCATGTCTCCCAAATACAAACTACCATGTACAGGGCGAACATTGCTCAAGCGCTACCAAAATAATCTCAAGGAAGATTGACAACAAGCGCATATATCTTCACTTTTATGAAAACAACATTGTATTCATATTAATTCAAGATTAAATGTATATACAGAAAAGAATTCAAAATAATTGATAGTCTGTCTTCAAACAGGACCTTCACACACCCTGTTTCCTAAATAGGCATATCTCATTTAGGTAACTTACCGAGAAAAAACCTTCAACTAGATACTGTCACACAGAAAATAGGACAAAATTAAGCCAGTCTCTCATATTAGAACTTTTTGTTGCTTTTAGTTTTTAAAGACAAAGAAGCAGTCAGTTCATAAAAGTTCATAAAAGCTCAAATAGCATTTCAGAGCAAACTCAGCAGGATAAAAAACTCAAAATCTTCTTCAGTGGGAAGGTGTTGAAAAAACACGCCAACTAAAAATATTTAATTCTGAGAAAGAATTATGGGAAGTTATTTTATCCTGAAGGAGACACATCCCTGCTTATCCTATCCTTCCTAATTCTACTCTTGTTCTCTTCAAGCAAATAGGTTGTCTGAATTGTGTTTTAAAAAGACATTTACTTAACAGATTTAAGAATAGGATGAAATGACTCGAATGACCAATGAATAATTAACCAGATATATGGAGCAGAGTGCAGGCTGTGACAGTATTACACTGTTTATTAACCCAGTCTTCCTCAGTTTTCTCCTATTAAAATGTTCTTCTGAGAGACTGGCAAGTTGTCACTGCAGCGGTTCCTAGATATTTGCCAAAGGCAGGAAATTAAGTTCTGGTAAAAACCTATGTCTGTATATATATATATACATACACACACATACACACACAGGTTTTTACCAGAACTTAATTTCTTGCCCTTGTGTTTGTATGCATATACACACATATATGCACATATATACATATGAACTGTAACTATCCAGAGCAAAATACTTGCAAGCTTCTGATCAGAATTGCACATAATTGTGAAAAAAATATATTAAGCGTATTTTACTATTAAAAAAAAAAAAAAAAAAAAAAACTGATTGGAAAAGAAAATTCTCTCTTTCTCACTTTAAGAAACACTAGTCTTCCACAATCATCAGATCCACATGCCTGTAGCTCTTACTGGGGTAACTTAGTAAGCTTTATTAAACTCTTATACTTAAAAGTTTCAGCACCAGAGCAAGAAGTCTTTATAAAAAGTATAAACTTCACATGCAACTGCATAAACAAGCCTGGCATTAGTATGCCAATATGCATTAAACCAGTGCAATGTCCTCACATCTTCCAACTCATCCATGCCTACTCTGGCTCACTTGCAGCACTGCCACCCAGCTTTTTTGGACTATAGTGGTCTCAAGATTCATAAAAGAACCTGAAGGACATATGTTGCAGTTCCATGCGTACTTTATCAGACCACTCAGCACTCACATGCTAAAACTGGAAGAGAAGTGTGTCATATGGTTGTAGTTAAGTCAAATGACTGAACACAGATTCATTACTAGAATTTAGTTGCATGCCCAATCCCTCCCCATTTTATTTTACTTTATTTTTAATATGGACATTAGAAAGCAAAAGGTCACACTTATTTGCGAAAAAGTGTCCTGGAAGACAGCTCCCAACAAGATACTCTTATTTCAGGGATACGTAAAAAAGCAGCTCACCAGCAAGATAAACTGTTCAGACATCATACAATGGGCTTGTAAGCAAGAGATTATGCATGTGTTCTATTCAAGTGGCACACTAGAGCTACATAAAAAGACAGATGTTCTCTGAATGCTATCTCCCAGCCACACAACTTGTTAAACATTCAGAATATATAGCAAAACCAAATTATGTCTTTGTTCCGTGTGAAAAGCGTTCATAGTGCATCATGTTCAAAATCTTTTCCATAGTAACAGACATCTTGACAGGCAGAAACTCCCTAGATTGTTCCTTATGCGTCCTTCCTGTTATCTTTGCCAAGTTCTCTCCAGCCATGCATTGTCCAATGGAAAGTCTTTTGTTTAGCCTCTTCTGACTGTTCCTCTGGAAAGTCAGTATCACAGCAGATATTCTGGCTGCATTTCTATGTTCTCTTAAAATTACCTACAGGGTCCCTTTTGGCATTTGACAGAAAACTTTAAAAAAGTACTTACAGCCATACTGTAAGACATTTCTTTTCAAAGGCATATTAAGAAACTAAATGTAACTCAATGGATGTCCAAACTTTTCAGCTTCTTATATGGATATACTGAGACATATTTCTTCTATTGCTGTGTAATTTGTGCATTTTCATTACCACATTTCGTCTACAGATTCTACTTTTCAGTTTATGGCTATACTTAATTTAAGTAGTACCATTATTCAACATTACTGGAAAGAATCTGTTTGCCAGATATATTTCTCTTATAACAAACTATTAATCTTGTCTAATTTGTGATACCGAACAGCGTTAAGACTTTACTTACATGTTTGGGTGAGCTATCACGTAGAAACATTAATTCTTGTCACTCTTTCCAGCATCTAGCTATAGCAAAGCTTTCTTGTAGAAAATTTTCTTTATTAGTCTAGCTTTCTACTAGAGTAAATTGTAAAGTCAAGACATTTTTCTCTATGAAGACTGCTTTTAAAAATGCTTTTGTCTTATTCCTTTGCTAGGAACCATATTTCCATTTAATTCCTTTAATTATTTACACTTTGTCTTCTGCTGAAGCTTTTAAAATTTTTATTTTCAGTGTTTACTGTACCATCACATTTAAACTGTATTTTGATGAGTTCATTTTTAATATCTTGCAATCATTTTTCTTTATTAATTCATTTTCATAATGGCAACAATAGATAGGAAAGAAGATCACTCAACATGAAATTACATCTAAGCATTACCCACTGATCCAAGCTTCCACTGATGACACGGATATATGGATATCTACATCTCACAGATTCCCGACCAAGATATTTTAAAAGGATTTTAGAAAGCATGTGTTCAAGTATTGCACTGCTGCTCACTGAAGGATAAAAATCAGTCTGTATACAGACAAAGGACTAGATCACTTTGGGTCAAGTCTTCTCATCCTGATCTCACCCCAAGCACCTAAAATCCTCACCAGCGTACACTCACTTGCCATAGGTAATCAGGCAATCACAAACTAATTTCTTTATACAATGATAGTAACAGTTCTGAGTTTACTGCAAGTCCTTGCATCTGCACTGATACAGAGGCAGTATACCTGTGACCTTAAAAGGCCTAGTCTAGAGAAAATAATTGAGAAAGCATGATAAAAAGTGAAAAACTGAAATAATTACCAAACACAGTTCTAGCTGGTACAGATTCCTTATTTATCCAAAATGAAACTTGAGAAAGGATCACGGTCATAATGCATGGGATATACGTCTGAATCATAAAGTAACCCATTTTCCGTCTGAGGTGGAAGTAAACTGTCATAACAATATATTCACCTAAGAAAAAAAAAAAAAAAAAGTATTTTTCTGACTACACATCTTTTTTTATGTCACAAATTAACTGTTTTAAGCTATCAGCTAAGATTCTTTAAGATTCACACAACTTAACATACTTAACACACATAGAAAGAAAGACATCTTCTGAGACAAGAACAAAGGTAAGTTCTAAACAAAAAATGTTGCAAATAGAAGGTCGTATATTTAGATAAAATCTAAAATATTATAAATGTGTAGCTAAGTCTGGATCAGTTTTTATAATGCAAGTTTGATTTTAAAATTCCTTTGGCATCTGCTGAAGAGAATAGTCTAGGTTTATATATCAGCACCATGATGATAATGATATAAATGCAAAAGTCATTAACAATAATTAAAAATAGTGTAAGTTTAGATGAAGTAACATTACTCATATTAAACGAAACAATTACATTTTCAGCACAATGGAGTAAACTATCTAAATAGTAGAAAGAATACAGAAGAATTTTGTAGCGATAGTAGGGAAACCAGGTCATTAACTTATAATAATTGATATGCAAGCAGGTCAACTTCTACAGTACTGCAATATACTGTTTTATCCTTAAGAAAAATACCCACAAAGCAAAGTTGTACTGCTCTATCTGTTTAATTATGACCACCCAAACTTGCAGATGTTTAGAAAATGATTCCAATTTTTAACAATATTTTGAGAGTATGCTTGCTTATCAGTAAACCGCTCATAAGTGATACTTCACTCATTTAGGATGCCCATAGTTGCCATTTGTGCTGTAAGAAGTAAGGCAAATCAGCAGAAGTATTTATTGTGAAAGTATCTATTGTGACTAATGCATTTGTGCCTATGCTTATCTGACTAGAGGGTTTTTAATGGTTTTAATAACCCATTCTGTATGCTCTACTTTTATCCTGAGCTGTTTGTACCACCAAACAAAGGAAGTCTTTTGCACATAATGTGGTTATAGTGCTGAGAAATTACTTCCTTACCCAGGCATCCTCTTGACTCTTCAAACTGCATTTTAAGCAGTGATTAAATACTCATTTTGTCCCTTGGAGTAATGATCTGATTTTAGCTTGCTGAAAGACCTTTGCAATCTACAGTAATGAATCTGCAAATGTATATCTGAAGGACAGAAACCTAATTCATATCTACGCTCTCACCTCCTAATATACAGCCTATGACATTCAGTAAAATACCTTACATAAAAGAAAGAAAAAAAGCCTAGAGTAGTATTATAGGGTTAGTTTGACTCAAATTGACTCTTAGTGATGAGATTCCTACCTGTAATAGATTTAATGGTTTCACTGGACACCGTATGCCCTAGCAGGTCATACTGAACTAAACTGGAAGACTCCTCAGGAACTTCCACTGACTTCTCAGGTCCTTTTGTCCAGGTATAAATCATTTCACTCTTTGGATATGCATCTACAACACAGCACCAGTTTGCATAAATAGGAAACAACTTCTCAAACCTTAGCAATGCTATCCCTCCCAGATCTACCAAAATCAATCAGTAAGACTCACAGTAACAGCTTTAGAAGACAACCTCTGCGTTACCCCCCAGAAATAAATTGGAGCTAAGGTATCAAGCACTATATACAAATTAACTTCATATTTGAATGTGAAGTCTAAACACTACTTCTTTCTACATCAGCCCTTAGTAAACATGGACGGTTATCTTTAAGTTATTTTAGAAATTTCTATCCAAAATTTTAACATTAAAATATACTGTCATGTAAAAATAGCATGATAAGGAGGATACATTTTGGAAATGAGGTGCACATTTCTTTACATGAAATAGTGATTAGTCTAAAAGCAGAAATTTAATTTCTTCTGCCAGAAACCAAAGGTCAGTAAAAGATTCAAAGCAGCCCAGAAATAAGCACACCCAAAGAAATATCATAACATTTAATATAAAAGACATCACTTAGGGCTAGCATTCAATCCCTATGCAGTCCAAACTCCTGTTAAAATTAAATTAAACCAATCTTGCATTTGAAATTGCTACTTCAAATTTCACTGAAAAAGACACCAGATTTGAGTCAAACACAATTTCTACTGATTTATGATTCTGCCTTAAGAAATATGCGTGGAGAAGTCCCCATTATTGAAGCTTCCCTAGTGCACATCTGATGCCAAAGCCAGTTCTAGCAGGACCTGGTTTCTACTTTCACTAATTGGGAAGAAAAACCCTATCAGAGAAGCATCCTTCATATCCCCCTTTTGCTTGGCTGTTGAGATATATAACTTAAATGTATAAGCTAAGGGGATAAGCAGCGTCCAACAACCTCTAACTTCAGAATTCAGGGGTCAAGGAAAACAGATTACTGTCCAGCCACCAATGATATCCCAGTGAAAAGCAGAAGCCAGTGACCAAGGAGGCTTAAAAGAGTGACAGGACAGAAAATGAAGCACATCAACCACACCCAGGTGGTCACAGCAATCTCTGCTGCAGATTAAAATCAAAAAGGACTCACTACTACCTTCCTCTGTTGCATATTAAATGGCCTAAAACATTACTCCTAGCAAAAGTCAACTATAGGGTTTTGGATAACTTCCACACTTCAAAGCAGAAAAGGACAGTCATCTGCACCACACTGAGACTTCTCTCACCAGTCTAAAAACTATCTAGCCTGTAATTGCCATGCAGACTCCCTTTACAGGCCAGGAGATAGGACATAAGACGAACAAAGATCAAATCTTCACAGTTAACATAAAACCTATCTCAGGACATGAACCTGACTCCACTGACTGTAAAGAAAGTCAAATAAACAGCTTCCCCAGGCACCTTTTACCTGACTGCAGTAAGCTGAGATGGATCCCACCCTCTTCTGCAGAGTATCTCTCCCTTCACTGAGTGTTCAATTCATCCCTAGGAACCAAGAAAAACTATATGCTTCAAACAACAGTGTAGCCAAAACGGTGAGTTTAAAACAGTATCTGAATCACTGTCCACTTTTCAGTTCTCTGAGTGGGTTTAATTTTCAGGTCCTAAATAAAATTCCCAAAGAACTTAACAGGAGTTTTGTCTGCATATGGATTGCATATCACAACTAATATTCAGAAAATTCAGTACTTTCTCAACATCTACTTCTACTATTTAAATTCTGTAGTTACAAGAAATTTCATAATTGTAACTTACAACTCCCAAATTTGAGAGGACAAGCATGACCATCCATGGGAAAATCCACTAATCTCATGGGACACTCTGCACTTATTGTAAGCCTATAATGGAACAAATTAAATAGTCTCTGGTTGCCATTTTGTCTAGGCAGCATATCTTTTGCATACATTAATTGTAAGAAGCTGAAAAAACAAGCTAGATACCTCATTGTATACAGGATAGTGCCATTCCTCATTATTCTGAAGAGTTTATTTGGGGCGGTCATGTTATGTGCAACAGACTTTTTCCCATTCCTGAAGAAAGTGTCAGGAGTCCACACCTTCGAGACCATCAAGTTGTTAAGTCTTAAAATTTCAATAGGGCCATCATATTTTAATCTTTTGTCTACCCATGTCTGACGGAAGAAGACATCCATTGTATACTCCTGTATTTTGCAGAAAAATTGCAGAAAAATAAAGATCACATTTGCTTGTATAAGTGTTTCCTGTAAAAAAAAGAAAAAAAAAGAAAAAAAAAGAAAAAAAAAGAAAAAAAAGAAAAAAAAGAAAAAAAGAAATCCCTCAGGAGCAAATAAACTAGTAGTAAAGAAAATGCTAAGTCCACCACACAAATATATTGTCACCAATTAAATAGTGTCATGTACTCCTTAATTTCCCACATTAGTCATATCAATAAATTTGATATACACATTTAATTATTAAGGAATAATTAATCTAATTAGATTGCAGGAAGCAGAAGTTTATGCTTGACTACAAATTATAACTGGAAACAAAATGATCTGTGACAACAAATGTCAACAAATTTTTAAAGAAAAGATAGCCAGCACTGAAAAAAAAAAAAAAAAAATTAAATAAAGTATCAGGAGAAATGATTACTTCTACTTCAAAGCCAAAAAAAGGGAAATTTAACTTCAATTGATCAAAAGTAAACTTTTAATGGAGAAAAGCTGAACATTTCCTTTGTCATGTCCACAAAACACATACAATGAACTATTCACAGACTTGTAAAAACGCACATTTATTTTTAACTACATAGCTATTCCATTCAATTCCTCAGAAAAGTCATTAAAGTGCTCCAAAGGAAAGATGTAAACTACAGAACTGCAGACACAAGTACATCATGAGAAATCACATGCAAATTAATTGACAAAGGAATGCATTTCTCATCTTGGGAAGTTAAAGCATTTTAAAACAATTACGAAAATAATTACGTGGCATTGAAGAAGGTAGCACAGGAAACTTCAGTCCCTTGTAACTTAAAGCTGCATCTTTGTGTTAAGCCAAATAATGTTCTTAGATTTCACTTCAAACTCGTCTGCACATTATTACCACTTTAAAATACTTGTATGGTCATATTCATATGGGCACGGATGCATCTCTACAAGTGCAATGCATTTAGAACTACATTTGGTTTCTTTTCTACAGATGTATCCTCCATCTCGCTTTACCGTTGTGCAGAAAAATACAGATTATGGCCTGCCTGAAAAGGAGACTAGTCCATGAGAAAGGGCTCATGGTATCTTGGGAACAAAAGTCCCTAGCTTCTGCAGGGAGAAGAAATTTGCTCTATAGCTGTAACTAAGTATCCCTTCTTTCTGCTCATGGCCTTGACTATCCCAACGCACAATGTTTTATTGTTTCCCACTCATATGGATTGTGGCAGTACTAAGGATGGTTAGCAGACATCTTGCTGGCCTGATGCCACTGGCATCTGCTGGGGATGATCCCAGAGTAGACATTCTACCAGTCGACAACCACTGGTACTGAGACTGACCAGCCAATTTCCCCATAACGTGAGTACCTCTCTATTAAACAGATGAATGTTAACTTTCCTCTCTGTTCTTTTTTCAGGACTGGTAAGTCTTGAGCAGAAGTGCTGACGCTTTTGCATTACAACAGTGAGTCTATGAGAAGTCTCTCTTCTTCGTCATTTTTTGCTAGTAATTTTGTAGCTTGCAGTAGCAGTTTCTTTATCAGCATGCACATGATAGATCTTGTAAAATGAGAGTTCAACCTCTTTCATAACTCTGAGAATCAAACTAAACCAGTTCTAAAAAAAACCATTCTGATTATCCTCTGTTCTGAGACTCTCACACTCCACACTTTCAACAAGGTTTATGAATGCAGCCACATTCATATCACAATGGATATATTCATTTCAAAACCAATTCCAAAATCCCTGAATAGCCTCCTAATCAATCCCTAATGACAAAAGGGGAAACATCTGCTGTAAATTCTCCTTTTGCCAGTTCCTTACCTACCTCCATTTCTTGTTTTCACTTCTGCCTTCGCCAAGGTAACCAGTAATTTCTCAGAGGCAGCACATAAAATGCTTCACTGCAGCCCTCAATTTAGAGTTGAGACACACATTACTAGACTTATTATTCCAGATTCTTGTACCCTCTGTCACATTGAACAGCATCATACTGTGCATAACAACCACAGAATGTGTAAGATGCAATTCCACACAAGACTAGCATAGGGACCTAGTCCTTGAATAAAAACAGCTTGCTGTCACATACCTTTCCCCAGGATAGAACCAATCAGGTGCCCCAGAAAGTGCATGATAGCACCGTGACCATGTATGAAGGAAGTTACTGCCATGAAACTGCCTTTCCCTTAAAGAAGTATAAACATACAAATGCAGATATGGCTCTGTTACTCCCATGTTTCATATAAAAAAATCCAAGAAATGAGAAACTGTTGTGTGATTTAAGGGTATGCTGTAGGCACACTGCAGTGGATTTGACCCCAAAGGCAGTTGCCTTTCAGGTACAAATAACAGTACGTGCAAATGCAATGTTTGTCTTCAGTGAATAGTTCATGCATGTCATTTTGACATTCAATTTCTGCAGACAGTTATGAAAACTCCTATTAGTCAAACGTTTGCTGAAATTGATGCTAAAAGTGGCCCAAAGACCAACAAAGGGAATTCATCTGCAAAAAACGTCAACAAGTATTTGTGAAATTATGTCATTACCGTTCACCTGAGAATAACATGCATTTGAGAAGGGAAAGGCAATTTCAAAGACATTACTTTTTTTCCCCAACAGTATGCTTACTGTGACACTCACCACAAGGCCTGATTCTGTCTCTACACCACAAAAATCTGTTTTAAATCCCGGGAAGTAATTTCCTTAAACCAGACAAAAAACAGCGCAAGTGCGACCAGAATCAGGCCTGCTGTATCTAATTATAAGCTATAAATTAAGCTGTTACTAATCTTGTCTACTTTGTATGATTGACAGAACAGTACAGAGACATGAATTAATCATCCACTCCTTACTGCAGTTAATGGTTTCTCAGAAACAGGAAATGGCATTTTAATTCCAGCAATACATACCATTTCTACATCAGAAACAGGTCCAAAACTGGTGACATATATATCTGTTTTCACTTCAGTAACAGGACCTAATATATGAAAAGGAAGTGAGCAAGAAAATGTGAATTTTGTAGGTCAACAGTTGTCATAAGTGATCCTGGCACGTGAACAGTTATTGCTTTGAGGGTTCTGTGGACAAACAAGAGCAAAATGCAAATACAGGTCATTTCAGATATGTCTCTAACAACAAGCACTACTCAACTGTCTTTACCCCACAAGTAAATCAAAGGCATGCAAATCCGCATTTAGAAAACCAGCATTGACTCAGCAGATAAAAAAAAAAAAACAGGTACCAACAAATTAAAAGGCGTATGGAAAACACAAGAACATAATTCAAGAAATCCACATTCCCCAAGGTCTCTATTGCTACCATTCAGTCTTATTGGTAATAATCAGGTTACAGATATTACTGCGCTACACATGAGGCAATTTAGCAGGATCAAGGGATGCATCCACATCCAAATCAATAGTTAAGTTACTTAATACTGACAAACAAAGTAAGAGTTGGGTATCTTGGGGCGTCTGAACACATGCTACTACATAGCCCGTCTTGCAAGAGCTACTGTTATTTATGACAGTGCACCAAAATATTGAATATTCACAGCTGGGAATGTCAAGCAACCATCGGAGAAAGCAATTTCATATCAACATGATCAGTCCCTCCAAGACAGGACAAAGTAACTTGAAATACAGGAACGGCATCACTCTACAACTGGGAATTTTAGAATTTTCCGTAAGTACACATGCAGGATTTATATCAGTTCCCAATGTAAAAGTCTACAAAACTGCTAATTATTAATAATTATAGTTATAATTCTGTGATCAAAGCATTACCTAATGGCTTAATTTGAGTAGTGAACATACATCACAAATGTATGAAAATCTGCTGGTTTTCTTACCAAACAGAATATGTTTGAAAACACAGTATAATCTACAAATTCACAACTACAGTTTCTATCCCAAAACCCAAAGAAGATAAGTGCCTCAAGTCTGTTAATTCCAGATTTATCATAGCATTTGTAATACAAAATTAAAAAGAGGAAAGACTTAAGGAAAGTAAAAGTTGAAGAATTTTTGCCTCTGGAAAGAAAAAGATAATTGCTGTTCACAGACAATATTGAATCAAATATTAGAAGAGAGAAATAAATATGCAACTGGAAAACGGGGAAACTATATTTCGTGCATCTAGAAAAGGTGTCAAACTGTGAACAAAAAGTAAAAGAAAACCATATAAAATTATTTCAGTGAGCAGTTTGCAAGTTATGTATAGAAGAACAGCTAAGAACTTCTCAGCTAAATGTCAAGAAACAGAATCTTTAATGGAAGTTAACAGTTTTGTAGAGAGACATTTTTTCAAGATAAAATCTAAAGAAAAATCATCCTATAACAGTTGGTAGCTCAGTGGTCCCTGGAAAGCTGGATCCTTCAGCACGTCTGTCTCAAAGAGGTTTTAAGAATTTCCCAAGTTCCAGATAACACACACTCATAACATTCTGCTCTTCTAAACATGTCAAATGGAAGCTGCTTCCCTTTCTACAAATACTTAAGCATTCATCATGGAACAGAAATCTATGAGTGGTTGGACCACTCATGTCACTGACAACGTAGTCCAATTAAATTTCCTGAATATAATTATTTCCACAGAGCTTCAAGAAATAGGGAAAAAAAAACTCAGAGCTGTCAATACTAGAAGTGAAAAAATTCACCTGCAGGATTAAAAAACAGGAAAGAAAAGCCCAATCGTACTTAGAACGTAGAAACACAAGCAATCCAAATATATCTGGTCTCCCATAATCACCACACTATCATTTATCTAGGGTAAACTACGTACAATACACATATACACACACAGTATTCACTTATCTAATCTGGTGAAGTCAAAATGTTTTTGAAATCAAAGTTCTATAGAAATGACAGAGACATTGTTTCACATTGCTCAAGTCTTTTGTTACCCAGCAATTAAAAAAAAAAAAAATACTGAAAGTTATACTCCTCAAAAGAGAACAAAATCACCTGTAGTGGATTGGTATCTCTATGGTACCTTCTTTTCTTTACCTCACAGCACACCGTAATTTTATAATTGTATCAAACAGAGCAAAATGGAACATTTTTCCCATAGGCAGGAGGTGGTTTTCCTCAAGCTGACTTCATTTGTTTTATCAGATTACAGCTTCATAGGCAATAAGCATTCAGAGTCTTTTTGCAACTTTATTTTTTGGGGCTTCTTGCAAAGAAGGTAAGCTCTAAGATCAGGAAATTAATCTCAAAATCTGAAAGCTTATGATTTCATGCTATTAGGAATCTGATCGCAGCAACACAGAACTAAAAACTGTGCTTCTAGTAACTACTATTCTGCTTTCAAACTTGTATCTACCAGTGGGACCCACAAGACAGAAGGAAGCAGGACAGATAATGAAGCCAAAAGATAAGGCTGAAATTAAAGTTTACCTTTGCTTTCTCCCCTGACATGATGGCAGTATGGTGACAAAAAAACGTTAAAAACAAGTTTTAGGCCTTTAGATAATGGCAGATGAACAAGGATCTGCATTTTAGGCATCACAACAGAATAAATAATATCCACATATTACAGGTGTGAAAATCCTTTCAATGCACCCAAAACTGTGGTCAAACATTAAAATGTTTAGTAGGAGAAAAGACAACTGCAAGGGACAGTGAAAGCTAATTATTCCCCTAATGCTTTTCCTTCTATCTACAGACCCATACCACATGTTCCACCTACAATGTCAGTCCATAACTATTAAGAGCAAATAATGGATTTCCTAGAGCATCCCTGCACTCAAGGCCAAGCCAAGAGAGCCATGGTGATACCAGAACCTATCCTCTATTCTGCTCATTGTAGAACAGAATATACTAATTCCAATTGGAAACTATAGCAGGGGTAGAAAGAGTGAGTCATGCCTTTTTCTTTTTTAATTATTATTAATTATGGCAAGTCCTGTCAACAGAGAGGTGATTTGCAGTCACCTAACCTACTTTTACTAGTGATTCAAGGAGCCTTCCAAAATAAGCATGTTACACCACTTAATCAACTCGGGCTGTGGAAGCAGAAGATCCTATTAGAAAACTTAACCTTCTACAGCTGGCAATAAAATGCAGGGCAGTCAACTTTAAATATGACCACTTGTGCTTCCCCTTCAATGCACATTCAGAAAGCATCTAACCACCATAAGTCTTCAGGAACACTGAAAATCTATTTTTAACATACTGGTGTGTATTTTTATGTCAATGAAATAGGAGGAGAGTCCTACACACTGCAGTGGGAACGGTTAAGTCTGAATCACTGCCTGAAAGATAATATACTTTAAAGAAGCTCTGGTAGAATTAAAAGCAACCCCTGCAAAAAGCCAGAATAGTTCAGTGCTTGATAGAGATGCTACATGTGGGCTGCAGAAGTGACGCCAGGCCCTAACCCTGCGAAGAGGAACATAAGACAGCTCTCCTATGCATTTGATGCCAACATATGGGTTGAACTGCAGCAGAGCTCCCAGTAAAAGACTTTGGACTCCATTATCCATTTGTCTCCATAGGCAACTGTCACCACAGAGATCTCCACTGTATGTAAACAGTCAAATCCTGCACAAGCTCACTGCAGATTGGAGATTTTGCCATCAAGAGTCACACAAGCAACTGCAAACCTTAGCAAACAAGTCTATACAAAGGTCTCAACGTGCAAAGTACAAAAGCGTGGTCGCTGTCACTGTTATGAGATCAGTCTCAAGATACACAAAATTACATTACATCACTTTCCACATCTACATCTTAAAAAAAAAAAAAAAAAAAGTATCTGCTACACACAGTACCAGTTTGTGAAAGATTTGATGCTTTCTTTTCAAATTTTTGCCTGCTGCATAAAAAGCAATTGTATGAAGCATGTTCTTTTGTTTAATTCCATAGCAGAGGACATCTGCTACATGTGAAATTTCTCTTGGGAACTTAGAACTGGGTAGGTCATTTCAAATACTCGAACTACATTCTTTATTCAAAGGTAAATGCATTGAATGCAACAGCACATAGCAACTTTTACATTCTTCAACTATCATGTCTGAACCTTGAAAAGGGAAATCATAATTCCAGAAATGAGGAGAATGCTCTGTTTCTTTGTCTGTTCAGCAGATACTCTCTGCTGAGACAGCCAACAAGGCTGACACTGGTGCCTGTTTTCACAGCGTGGGCACCTGTCTATAAAGAACTGGACCAAGAATATCAGCTAATTTTATATAGGTCACTGAACAACAGACAGATGGTAATGACTTCAAGCATTATGAACCTGGGCCAAATTCAAACAAGTCAACTACAGGTATATAACACCATATCCTGTTAACAAGGCTTTGAATCATCTGCTCTCATCAGCTGAAGAAGTTTGGACAATTGCCCAAGAAAAAAAATGATCACCTTCACTTTATGATGCTCACAGCCAGTCCATTTGTAATAAACAAATAAATAAATAAATACAAAATCTATTATGCTGGACAATGGAATCTTGAAGGTATGTATAAGTTTTTTTTTAATAAAAGAAGATAATAATGTAGATACTCTTCTATTCTCTAAATAGAAAATTGTCTGCCCTCTTCACATTTATTCTGAATCTATTTCCTGACTACAGTCACTCCTCTTGCCTTGACAGGAAATGAAACTCAGAAACATTCATAAGCTGAACATGGCGCAGCCTAGAAGAGGCAGAGATGCTCTCTCACAGTCTTCTTAAGGGAGACAGTGGCCAGTATATTTAATTCCACCAGGTATCCTGTTGCAATTTCACAATTATGAGATCAAGAGAAAGAGGAAGGAAAAAGGAGAGTAAATGAACACGGTCCTGTTCCTTCTACTCACGAGCCAGAATGCATGGTGACTTTTGAACAGAAAGATGAAGTGCAATCACCACTTCAATAGCTGACAATGAGATTTCATGCCAAACTGTACCTCACAAAAATAAGCAGAACCAAGGAGAAAGAGAGCTCCAGTCTTCACTGACTGATGGGCAGCTACACCACAAGCAGCCAGGAAGATGCGGTGGGCAATACAGCCTGGCTCAGAAGGGATTTTTAAGACCTAACATCAGAGGGTTTTTCTGTCAACCTAAGAGCCTTGAAAGGGAGACATGCCACACATCATCTTTCTTTAATCTTACTGAAAAACAAAATTTCCAAGATCAGAGGCACACCTAGCAGAAAAATTCATTAGAATTAGCAGATACACAGGCATTGCAAGTGATGCTCTTCTAACTTGCCACAGCTGCCTCATTCCTTCTTGGCTTTCTAAATGAAGTGTAATGAGCTAGCATATCGTGTAAGTTTTAAAAGTTACCATAACATTTCAAAGTGATCCTTCCCTTCTACTCTGCTTTGGTGAGGCCATACATGGAGTACTGCATCCAACTCTCTGTCCCTCATTAATGGAGATCTGGACATATTGGAAAGAGTCCAGCAAAGGGCCACCAAGATGACAAAGGGCCTGCAGCACCTCTCATATGAGGAGAGGCTGGGAGAGATGGGACTGCTCACCTCGGAGAAGAGGAAGCTCAGGGGGTTGTCATTAATGCCTATAAATACCTGAATGGAAGGTTCAAGGAGGATGAAGCCTGTATCTTTTCAGTGGTGGCCAGTGCCAGGACAAGAGGCAATGGGAACAAACTGGAACACAGAAGGTTCTCTCTGAACACCAGGAAGCACTCCTGTGCTTTGCAGGTGATGGAGCACTGGTACAGCCAGCCCAGAGAGGCTTTGGAGTCTCCTCCTTGGAAATCTTCTTAAGCCACCTAGATGTGGTTCTGGGCACCCTGCTCTGGTACCCATGCTGGAGCTGAGTCTGATGGACCCAGAGAGCCCTGTCAACCTCAGCCACTCTGTGGTTCAGTGATCCAGCAGATGTTTTAATGGATTTCATGGACCCTCAGGAACTACACAGTTCCTCGTGTAAGGTCTAAAACCATAGAAGTGTTAAAATGGCAAATCACATTCAGACCTTTTATTCCAAGTGAACAATACTCCTGTATCAAAAAGTTGTCTGGAGTTCTACAACCATTTTGAATCTAATCACTGGTGGAAAGGTAACAAAGTGATTTTCAGAGAGAAATCAAGGTTTTGTGATTTTCTAGAGAGTTTTTTTTGTTTGTTTGTTTTTTTTTGGTTTTTTTTTGTCATATGCAAAAATTTCAAAAGCAGATAAAAACTGGAATAAAGGCGTAAGTGGTTTTCCTTCAGAATTTTACATCTGAATCAAAAGAGCACTTGGGTAACATGAAGTTTTACAGCAGATAACGCATTAATTTTACTGCAGGTGACTTCTCTCAACACTCTGTGCTTATGATCTGTTAGATTACAGGCTGGACATGACTGGGAAATCCACATGCACTAAAAACTTCATTCTGAAATTCAGGACAGCAGCAAAATAGCACGTGGACAAACATAACTGACTTCACTTCCACTACACTATTTTCAAACATCATGCAGCATTACTTCATTCATTAGTTTCTAAGTACTTTCCCACTACTGAAATTCAAACTGTTATGCATTTAAAGTCTTCCTGACAGCACTTGCGGGGTTTTTTCATGCACAAAAATGCCTGTTCTGCTCTACTTAATTAAATTTCCTGTTGAAACCTCTTTGCCTCTCTCGCTTCTTCTAAGGATTTAGATTTCTCCCGCCCAAAGTCAAGGGGAACTTTCAACCTCCTTCATGAACGCTTCTGGTTTTGTTTTTACGCTACCAAACCTGATTAATAACCGACAGCAACTTGTTGGATTTTTTAACTTGTTTCATGAAGCAACTTTGTAACACATAGTGTTCATCAAATGACATGGGAAACTCCATTCTTCTACTTACCTTCAAGGTAAGCCACATTACTATATAACATATAATAGGACAAGATCTAAATACTCCATTAAGGTTCGAAACCCTCCTGAGAGGCCACATTTACATACATAAGCATGCTCAGGTGATTTAACTTCTTTATAACCACCAACATTGTGCTATTAATGATGCATGAAGAAACTGGATTCAGTTTTAGGAAATCTCCAAAATTTAATATTTTCTACTATGCATTCAAAAATCTTCATAAATTGTTATTTATAGTTACTCTAGAATAAGCCAACAAAATTCAGAATTTGGCTAGCTCCCCAAGCCCGATTTTAAACATCACTTGCACCAGAATTAGAAGTGTTTTCATTGATTTAAAGATTAAAATCAGCATCGGTCAGACCACTGTGAGGTCTTTTGTTCTTAAAATAAAACCCTCATTTCATTTTGAGCCACGTGCAATCTAGATGGTGAATCAGCTTCAGGAATAAAACCAAAATAAATATTCTGCTGCTCATCATAAAACAGCTTTAGTGTTACCAAAACACACTACACTTTCCATCTCTAAATATTCCCACTATGATGACATTTGTTTTCTATGCTCTAATGGCAAGTGAGCCACTTCTAAGAAACAATTTGCCAAAATTTGCAAAAAAAACTTATCAGCAAAAAACACATAACATGGAGAAAACTTAATCTGGATAGCACATAACTAATCCTCAAACCATGTTGAGTTGGAGCAAAAGGTCATATCTGACCATTACAGAGAAGTTTCTTTTTCTGGTTGATTTTGGTTTTTAGTTCTTGTTCTTGTCAAATAAGGTGACAATAACTTGCACTAAAGAGCTAGGGTGCCAGGCATTGTTTTCAAAATTGAAATAGGTTTGCCCACGTGTTTAGAAGTTCAAAACTCAAAGGTGATTGATTTAGGTATTATAAGGAAGGAAGAAGTAAGTAGTAATATAATGTTCATTTCATGAGGTATATACTCAGAAATGTTTTCCTCAGACTGAAATGTGAAGGTTTTTTTCTTGTATTATTTACTTCAACTCTGCAGTTATGGAACTTCAAGGAGATTCAAGGAACTTCTCCTTCTTGATAGCATTTTGCTGAAAGTCCGCAACACTTACTGTAGAAAAAGGTCTATTTCTGCAAAATATCCTGCAAGTGACGACTGTATCAAAATAAAAATCAACATAAACTGTATGTCACATTACATATTTAGTAGTTGTTTAATTTTAGAAATCTAATAATGCTCATAAAGCATATTTGCTAGATGACTAATTAGTTGGCATTCAACCTAAAATGATGCCAAACATAGCACATCTCTTGTATGCATGCAGAAATGTCTGTAACTTCTCTGCAGAGAATAGATGGGAAAAAAGCTACCTATTCTTAATGATTCCTCTGGGTGTTCAATAAATTCAGTTTCCTTTCCACTTAAGCTAAGCTATGGGAGGCCTCATTTATTCAATATGTTGAAAATAATAAAGAAGTGATCAATGATATTAGCAGAGATCATGCATATGAGCACAATATATGGTATGTGTGGAACGTGTTGGCATACACGTCAGTGTGGCTGTATCACGTGCATGAAGAAGGTACTTTCAGGGGAGGAAGCAAGTATTTCGCAACATAAACCTACACAAGGATCTCATTCAATTCCGCATAGAAGCAGCCTATAAAATGCTCTACTAATTTTGCACATCATGAGAAGGACTGTAGCACTTCTTTTAAACCTTTTTTTTTTAAAAAAACAAACAAACAAACAAAAAAAACTTTCAAATCTGTGTTTTAATGCCAGATTATAAAATAAATTTGTATTTTGTCCCAATCCTGGTTACTTTCAGTTCCACATCCCAACAGTAACACCAGACCCACACAGAAGAGCCAACCTGGCTTCTCACTCACAGCACAAGGGATGCAGAAGAAAATGAAACCCCAAATCCACACCATGGGTGCGGGCAAATTCACGACCCCTCCAGTCCCTATTTCTACACAGCAACTGAGTACTTCTAAATCCAAGCTGGAACGGGAGCAGCCGCGGTTACTGCTGCGTGCCCGAGTTCCCGAGTACCGGCATTCCCTAACTCGTTGGACAGAGCCCATCAGCGACACGACCCCGCAGCACAGACAGAACTAACCACTCTCTCCTCGGCACCCGGGTGGCAGCAGATCCCGGTACTGGACAGTCTTCCCACCCCCACCGAGCGGTGCGCCCGCGGCGCCGCGGACCCGGCTGCGCGCACGGAGAGCCGGGCTGAGCCTTGCGCTCCCCGCGGGCCCCTCAGATGGACGGCGGTCACCCCCGCGCAGCGCCCGTACCTCCGAATCCCGGGCGCAGGCGGTTGTCATAGCCATCCAGGAGACTGTTGAGGATGCTGGTGAAATTCTCCGGCCACAATTTCTCCTCTTTTTTGCTCTGTCCCGGCGGCCCGGTGAGACTACGAGTCAAAGAGGGAGCGGGTGAGCGGAGCCGCTGACACCCGGCTCGGAGCAGTGGCACCGCTACGAGCCGTGCCGGGCGGGGGTCGCCCCGCGGCCGGGGTACTCACCACGTCGCCAGGCACAGGCAGTGCAGGAGGGCGATGGAGAGACCCGAGGACATGGCGAAGGCTGGCTCCTTGGCAGAAACCATCTTTGCATGCCATACTTCACGCCTGGGCACGTTGTCCGGGGCGGGGGACGGGGACGGCGGCGGCGCCGGCAGCCCGCGGCGGCCCTACATGCGCGGCGCCCCTGTTGCCAGGAGCCGGGCACGGGCGGAGAAGCGGCGACTTTCCCCGCGCCGTTAACTCTCTCGGGGCAACAGGCACCGGTCCGCGCCGCACCCGCCTCCGGCCCGCTCCGCCCCGCCCCGCCCCGCTCTCCCACCCGGGCCGCCTCAGCCCCCTCCGGGCGGCCGGGAGGCGCCGAACCTGCCCGAGAGCTGCCTCCCGCCCGGGGGAGGGCGGAGCGGAGCCGAGGCGCGGGGGAGGTGGCACTCAGCCCACCCGGGCCTCGTCCTGGCGCTCCGTGCCTCGGGCTCCCCGGCTCGGGGGATATTGCGGAGGATGTGCGCTTGGGGGCACGGTAAGGTGCGTGCCTACGTGTGAGGATGGATGGTTTTCTTCCCCATCGTGTCCTAGTGAGGACTGCGGCGTGAAGTCTTCATTTGCCCTGGTCGATTCCTCTCCCGAAGGGGAAATAAAGCTGAGAGTTGGCAGAAAGTGTAATTCCTAGCAAAGGTCCCTTAACTGCCGCTGGCAGTGTGAAGGTGCTAGATGAGGGTAAGAGCTGCGACTTCAAGGTTAAAACGGAGCGCACCTGAAAGGGAAGGGAGTTAGTGGGTTATCCCACACTCCTGGAAGCAGAAATGCCAGAAGCCAGGAACTGGTTTCACGTTGTATCTTTGTTCTTTTTTTTAGTTTCTTATAATTAGGAAGCCAGGTTAGTGACCCAAATAATTTCCATTATCCAAGGTCCAGGGGATTCTGTAGCAATTATCCACTCCAAAGCATTGCTGTTCTATTGTTGGGGCTTTTGGGAAGAAAGAGAAGAGATGTTCGGGATGTTCTTCTTTCACGTACTTTCACTGACAATAAACAACTTCAGACCAGGTGTGCTGCAGAGTTTGGAGATAAGTGTGCATGCTAATTTCAAGGAGGATAGTGAGGTCTGTTGTGCCAGAGCACATGGATCAGGTATGGTAATTGACCTCAAGACTAAAGTACTGTTTATGCCGACATAAAAAAAGGCCTTATTTGTTACATGCTACGATATCTCCAAGCACTGAGGTGCCTGATTATCCTCAGAACTATTGTACGTGTGAAATCTTCCTGATTGTACTTAGAGTTTGCTCTGGCTAGGGTGCCCTTTGCTGATTGAAAAACAATTAAAGCTGTGCTTCAAACCCATTTAGCTTGCTGGTGCTATTTATCTTTAAAAAAAAAAAAAAAAAAAAAAAAAAGCTCCAGTCAGTCAGTTCTGCTTCCAATTTTAAAAGCTCTATTTAGGCCTCTGCAGATTATGAGTCTGCTTCCTCATATTTTAACTGATGAAATGCAGGCATTTCCCAGCAGCGCCCTCCTCACAGGTACAACCACTGTGTTCCTTAATAAATAGAAGGCACTGGGCACTAAGGCAGCCTTATCACAGGAGAAAATATGATTTTTTTGACTCATGACTTTATTCTATCCGAATTTACCTTCAAGACAGACTGAAGAAGAGAGCTGAATGACCACTTAAGTGATAAGTAGTACTGTGATATTTGAGTCCAGTCCTGACCAAAGCTGGGTCACTGTTTAAAGAATCAATTAGCTTTCAGATACTCTACCTTTCCTCTCCTATTTGAATCCTGTCTTTTCTGCCCCAAGTCCTGCTAGATCCTCATCTCCTGACTGCCTTGCTGGAATGATGAATGCTGTGCAAAAACTAAACTAAGTGAGCGGCCTGCTTACAGAAAGCACGTATACTCTGTGGAGTATTTACAAGCTTGGACTATGGTAGGATGTCAGTCCAAAGTTACTTAGCCCCAGTGAGAGTAACTCCCAGTGTGAGAGCAGCCTGGTGGAAACCAGCACACTAACAAGTGCCCACTGCCCTTGCTCCATTAGCAATCTGATGAGGAATGACAGCAGTACGTATGAGCAGGTCTTCAGAAGGCTAATTTCCTCACATCAGTTACGTTTGCCAGCATTAATCAGCCTCTTTTTGTGTATAAACAGATGTAATTTGTTTTTCTGGACTAGCCTTAGTCCCATGTTAAAGAATGAACTCTTAAAAGGGAGTACTTAGAAGTATCCTCCCGTAATAGAATTGCTACTTTTACAGCACCCTGTGAGAAAAATCAATCCCTTGTGGCAAAACAGTGAGATTATCTGATCTAGGGATATCTCAGAAAAATTTTGCTGGCAGAAGACAAATTCACAAAATTAAAGCAAGGGCAATAGATGGTAATTCAGAAGTGGGAAGAAGAAGACAAGAAGTGGCTGGTCAGAGGTAGAGAACAAAAGCCAGCTCTGCAGTACTGTCATTTCTAACAGCTGCTGTGGAAGGAAGCCAACAATATCCTGGCAGAGCTGGGAACACCCTTGGGTTCAAATTATTACATGTACAGACACCTGTGTGAACTGAAATAGAAAAGCTGAGTGGTATTCAGTAGTATTAATTTCTCCAAACAAGTGTCCTGAGAAGCATTATCAGTCAGCCCCCTCACGGATCTGTGCCTGGAGTCATAGGAACTGTGGGTGCTGCAGGCCCAGTAGTACCGCTGCAGCTAGAAAACATACTCAGTCATTCCCTTTCAAGTGATTCCCAGGTTCTTTAGAACAAACAATAATAATAATGATATCTTCTGTCTTCTCAGTAAAGGTAACATCAGGTTGAAAGGTCTGTGGACATATCATGTCAGGGCACCAATAAATAAGTACTCCTGGCATCTGAGAAAATTCACAGGTTGTATTTGATAAGGAAAGGTAGACATTAATGTCTTTCTGTCACATTCTGCTTGCTGCATGTTATATTGATGTAGAATCAAGTGCTCTTTGACTTCAGTTACTCCCTACATGTGTTTAAACTGCATGAGAAATCTAGATTTCTCTAAATCAAGAAAATTAGAATACTTATTTATCAGCAGTATCTTCCTTATCCCACTTTACAAAGAATTTACTAAAATTAATACTGAAAAACAGAAACCACTGTTGTTGATGTCTGAATGAGTGTGTCGTTCATATGCTGCTGAAACTTTTACAAATTAAGGCTTGAAGGGAACTTAAACAGTCCAGACAGACAGTATACAGTCCTGTAAGCCAGATATATCACTTCTGAATACTTGCTTATACCTTTTGGTATGTCCATTGCCCTGGCTATTTTCCAACATTTTTGAATCACACCTTCAGTGAATTGCATGCATTTGTGGTGTAGACACATACAAAAACTCCCAGGATGACTATTTGTCATCAGCAGATATATGCTGATTTAAGAAACAAACAAACAAAACTACTACTTTAAATCTTCTTTGATCACTTCAAAGAATTTCTGGGTCATGTCATCTCTTTAAACAAATTTGATGACTTGAAAAAGGTTTTAGTGGTCGCAGTCTGGACTGATGGTCTCTAAATATGTTTTCTGAATTCAGCATTTTCTCAGCTTCTCTAGCTTTTACCACCAATTCTTCCAAAATTTCTCCCAAGATATCTCACCCATCATGGACTATTGTAAGAAGGGGACTATTTTTGCCCAGCACCATATGCTCAGAAAGCACTTGAATAACTTAAATAGGCTTTTTTTACTGCCCCTGTGTTGATACATCTCCCTAATGATTTTTGATGAAGCAGATATTCTGGCCATGCCTCAAAAGCAGCTTTAGACAAAGCTATAGAAGAACTTTTTTATTTATTACAACATATAGAGCAGCAGGAAAAAAATTCAGCACTCCTCCCATTTCTACTTTACTATCAGATCAAATGAAAACAAAAAGGAAGTCAGTGCTTTGCTTGTGGAATACATTCTATAGCCTTTCTGTATTTTTTATTATTATTTTTTTTTTAACTGTAGGCTCCAACAACTTTGCAGGTTGTATAAGCAAATTATGGTTTGCAACCTTTTTCCCAGAAAATTGACATGACCGAGGCCTGGCATCAAATACATTAAGACAGCCAAGCTTATTGGAAAAGACTGAGGAAGTCTTCAATGCCATCCTTGGACAATTATGGCCCTATCTCATTTTTGGTAAATTACTAAAAATCATACGGGTACCTTTTCGGTATTTTGTAATTTCTGGTTTTTGATCCCTTCTTTGCTCCTCCTCATGAGTGCAAGGGGTCTTTCATTCTTCTCTTCCACATCTACACAGACTGAAGAGATTCTGGGAACCTGCAAAAAAATACATCTGCTCTTGGCTTTATCAAGACTTTGATCTAGCACTTAGGAGAAGTCCAAACCAACAGTTCAGGGAGGAGCATTGATGGGGAGTCTGTGGACTGTGAGACCTGAAGTCACCTCTACCAGTATGGTTATCTTTATGCACTCTGGGTTCTGGGTCTGTTGAACGCAATTTAAGTTCTGCTCAGGGAGCAGTAAAATAGCTGCTTCAGATTTTTTCATCTGTTCTTCCTGACCAGCCTTTGCTTCCCACTGTAGTTCTGTCATTAGCTTATTTCCTTCAGGACTGCACCTTTCACAATTTGATTACAAAGTTGTTAATTCCAGTTTTAAAAGAGTTCCACTGAATGCATTGTAGCTAACATTACTTGATGCAGTTCTTTCTCTCAAGAGCTTACAGTCTAGATAGATAAGACTAACTAAAGATTGGGAAAAAGCAAGGACTATTATTCCTATTTTGCTGAGAGAAAAAAAAAGCTTAATTGACAACCCAACTCCACAGAGGAAATCTGCAGCAGAACAGAAGCTTACTATCAGCCTACTGGGTCCCACTTCAGTTCTCTAATCACCACCTCAGATGTCCTTTCAAAGTGCAGTGTAAGCTCTATGTAAAACTGTAACCTTCAGCTGGTCCAGCTTTGCTTCACTTCCATGGCCAGAACTCCTACGAAACTGCAGGAGCTGATGCCGACATGCATTTAGCTGTATATTTTTTCCTCTGACATATGGTATTTACAAGACTGTTCTACAGTACCATGGTTATTTTAACACACATGTCCTCGATACCTTGGAATAAGGCTAGAAAATCCTTTGAGTACCAAATATACTTACATATATATATACTAGCATAGATATATATTGCTATTACTGATTGCAATAGGATTTATGTGGATTCTTCTAGTGATTGACACATGGATTTTTAAGAAGGTAAGCTGTGAGCTTCCTATTTAAGAGGCCTCTACA